CCAAAAGCATGGAAATTTATTAGTATTTTCTTGAAATTGCTCTATTTGTAAATTTCTGTATTCGGATGATGCCAATAATTTCGAAGTTATTAATATCATTTACAAAGATTTTGAGAATTAAGTGTTTTATTAATTTATGCATTTATTTCGCTTTCAGAGTTGTAAGAATTTTTCACATTTATTCTTTAGTCAAAGATTTTATAAATGGCAGAGATTTTTTCCTGTTTATTAATGAGAACTTGAAAATGTGTAAAGTTCGTAAAAATCTACGCTGTATTATTTAAGCTTTGAATGTCGGATTTTAATGAGTTTTTTAAAGAATCGTCTGTCTGATTGTTTGTCGCGTCATCTTCTCCGAAACAGCGGGGACTTGAGTTTTGAGAGATGTACCCACGATTACAAAAATTCGTGGGAAGCCATTTTGAACATTCTCATCTTCGTACGACTTAAATCAGCCGAGATATCAATTTGAAAACTCTAGAAACGCTAATTTTTGCACTAATTTTTTACAGTGACAACAGTTTTGTGCGAAAAAGATAAAAGTCTGCTTTGTTTCGAGACGTGTTGCCACTGCTCGCTTTCAAATCATAAAGTTTGTTAATAAAACAATGTGTAAGTTTTATAAAATATGAAATAAAAATAACATTGCCAAACGTTTAATACATTGTAGGGTTTATATTTATTTTAAGTTTAAACTATCTTTCCTGTCAAGCCTTACTTTCCCCTGGAATTGCTAATGCCAGAGTATGTAAATTTTAGTAGAACGCGCAAGGATTCAAATTATCAGCTGAAGTAATCTGAGTTAAATAGAAGGGAAACGAGTTCGAAAGTGTGCTTTCTTGCTTCACGAGCGTGGAGGTGGCTAGTTAGAAATTGAAGAACCACGCGTTTCGGCCTGTGTGCTTGCCTCGGCAGTTTGTTAATCGTTCAATGTAATATTCAGAAGTTTGCTGAATTATCAGCGGTATCTTAGAACGCGGTGAGGTTAGTTACGTTTAGAGAGCCTCGTAGTTAGTCACTTGTTATTATCGCTTTTCAGTTTCTTATTTTTATTTTACCGCCGGGTCGGCGTAGTTTGTGAGCGTCAAGAGCACGCATTTGTAATTTCTAAAGTTGAATAAAAAGGGACTTAAACCCTTCTCAAGACTTTGTCTACTTTCCAGTTCTCAGCAGTCACCAGTATTGTTGCGTGCAGTTTGGAAGCGCGGAACATTACAACATTACTCCGGATTCCAAAAATTCGTAGATGCCATTTCGACTATTCTTATCTTCGTAAGACTTTTATCAGCCGAGAGATTAATTAAAAACTCTGAAAACGTTACTTTATTTACTTACATCATTTTTCGAAGTGGCAACAGTCTCGCGCGATGTAGATAGAAGTGCTTTATTTCGAAAAGTGTTACTATTGCTTGCTTTCAAATCGCAGAGTTTGTTAACAAAATTTCACAAAATATTCTCCACATGAGTTTTACGAAATATGAAATAAAAATAACATACCAATTATTAAAAATATTATTATTACATCAGGTCATATTCTGACGTTGTACAAAGCACGCGATTGCACGTGACGTCATTGTATGTCGAAAATTTTTCGTTAATGTCAGCATTTTAAATAAATAGCTGCTGTGGGCAACTTGTACTTCCTTGTACGAAGTAAAAGAAGTATTGTAATCACGAAAAATTCCGGGTACCATGTTTCAAGAAAATATCCATTTTGACCTCTATCAAATGCAATTTAACAATGTTTTTGCATGACATTTGTACGTAAGGACAGAATAAAGGACTTTTTTCCCAAAGTAAATAACTGATTTAAAAGGGATTCAGAAGAGATATTTTCGAGGCGTCTGTACGTACGTATGTATGTGTCTCGCATAACCCATAATCGAGTAGCCTCAGAACGTTGAAATTTTGTATAGAGAACTGCTATAACATGTAGTTGTGCATGCTATAACATGTAGTTACCCTTTTTGGTTGCAATCGCCCATAATTTTTTAGGATTAAAATTCTTTTTTGAAATTATGTATTTGTTCATGGATTTTTGATGCTTGCACTTGATTTACATATGCTCTCAGAATTTAAATGATATTGTAGATGAGTTCGCAGCAATAATTAATCATTTATTTGCGTGCAATTAAATTTCATTAACTTTTAATTTGCTTTATATTAGCAATAGTCTTATTGATTACAACTGTAGTGACATTTAGTAATTTAATTACGAAAACACGTTAACATAACAGACGTAATCCACACAAATATGACAAAAAAAAAATAAAAAGAAGTAAGAAGAGCAAGTCAGTCCATGGCATTATAAAAACGGAATAACATCATATCAACTCAGAGCCCTTCGAATTTCGAACTTCATCGTTGCTTCTGTCTCGCGTCTCTCTCGAAGTGGTCACGTGACCTTGTTGGTGAGTACTTTATCACCATATGTATATATATATATATATACATATACCCACTCTTTTACTGAGCTCAGTGAGCTCAGTATCTTTTATTCTTATATGTTGGTAAATTGTGCATTTTTTTTCTTTAAAAATGATTGAATTATGTTGCTCTTATCATCCGGTTAAGGTTCTTCTGCCTTTAGTTGATCTGCATGCAATATTTGTAGAATTATCAACAATCTAAAAATTTTTTAAGTGCGGTTAAGCCTAATTTCTTTACCATAGCAGCCACATTTGTTTACACTTGAAACTTAACAGAATACTGAATTAATTATTTCACCACATCAGGCACCTTCAGTGTCTTTTTGCCAAGTGGGAACGAACAAAAGGAAACTTTTACTTTTGTGCACTGAAACATCTACCGTCTTGACCGCTGGCCGAATTGTTTGTTTTTGAGTCTAAACTGTAATTTTAATTGTAAAAATTGTTTTTTAAATTGTTTTAACTGCACTTGATGTCTTATGTTTTTCTATATCTTTTAATTTTTAATGAAGATATTTAGAGTTTTTACGTATTTTTGCCTTGCCGCGAAGTCGAGGAAGTAAGTTCAACTTTAATGCAGGGAAAAAATACATATAATTTAATATTCCATACAACGAAGTCCTGAAGGTTACACATCAGCTTTTTCTTCTATAGCAGCCATATTTGCTTACATTTGAAAGTTAGCAGAATAGTGAATTAAATCAGTTTGTGCACCTTCAGTGTCGTTTTATAAACTTTCAGTTTTGTGCACCGAAAAATCTACTTTCTTTCTACCCGGACGAATTGTTTGTTTTTCGTAGGAATTATATATTTAATTGCAAATTTGCTTTTTTAAATGCTTTAACTGTATTCGGTATTTTATATTTTTCTATATTTTTACTTCCTTGTACGAAGTAAAAAGGAAGTATTGTAATCGCGTAAAGTTTCAGGCAGCATATTTCAACGAAAATATTCCATTTTGACATCTTTCAAATGCAATTTAACGATGTATTTCCGTGATATATGTACTTAAGGACAGAACAAAACACTCTTTTCCTGCCAAAAAATTATAAAACTGCTTTAAAATGAATTCTGAAGAGAATTTTCTGTGGCGTCTGTACGAACGTATGTACGTACGTGCGTACGTACGTATCTCGCATAACTCAAAAACGAGTAGCCTGAGAACGTTGAAATTTTGTATATAGGACTGCTATAACATATAGATGTGCACCTCGTATTTTGGTTGCAATCAGCCGCACCAAACGTATATAAATATAATTATATATATATATCCACTCTGTTACCCGGCTCAGTGATCTCAGTTTCTTTACTCTTATATGCTTGTAAATTGTACATTTTTTGCTTTAAAAATTATTAAATTATTTTGTTTTTATCTTCCGGTTAAGGTTTTTATGCCTTTAGTAAATCTGTATGCAATATTTTTAGAATTATCAACAATTTTAAAATTGTTTAAGTGCCGCTTATAATGTTTTTGATGGAGGCCATTGCTCTTGTTTACATTTGAAACATCAGGATAGCGGATTTGTTGCCAATCTAGAGAAGCTTAGCTTCGCAACAACAAAGATAACGCCTTCATTTATTATTTAAATCATGCTTAATCCTTTCTGGAATTTTTTCGAGGAAATAAGCGTTTAAGATTTACTTCGTAATTTTTAATACAGATATTTCGAGTTTTTATGTATTATTGCCTTGTCGCGAAGTGAAAACTGAATTAATTATATGAGAAATACTCAATCGTCTGTGAAAAACTGTTTCTTTTTTGTTTTGTTTGCTTAATTTCTTTTATACATCATTATAGCCTTATTATAGTATTTGAATGTTAAGTGAACCTAGCGCCAGAGTGTGGCTATGGTAAACAAAGTGAATTTCAAAGAATGCATTTATTCTATTGTGGTTTATGCGGTGTCGGCGAAGTAGGTTTATTCAATCTAATAAGATAAATGAAATGTAAGAAAAACTGCGTATAATTTACTATTCCGTACAAGGAAATCATGTTGTGTACACATCAGATTTTTTTATTTTTAATAAAGATTTTTGAGGTTTTATGCATTTTTGCCTTGTTGCGAAGTGAGAACTGAAATAATTGAATGAAAAATATACCTCTAATGAAATTCAAGGAAATAAGTTTAAATGAAATGCAGGAAAAAATGCGTATAGTTCAACATTTCGTACAAGTCATGTACAAGTCATGTAATGTACACATCAAAATTTTACTTAAAAAAAAAAAAAAAAAAAAAAATAGAGAAAAGAAATGGGAAGGCCACATTTCAAAATTTATCCATGGAAAATGTATCTGTTATGCGTATTTTACCTTACAGGCTAAGCACATGAGTATATTGTTTAACAAGTAATGTAGCCCTGAGAAGCAATCATTATTAAAAAAAATCGGCTCTTAGAATTGTTGCCCCAATGCCCTACTTTTCCTCTGAACGAAATAGGTATAAATAAAGAGAGAAAAAAAAGAAGGATGTAATTGTGGGAATGGAAGATACGCCATTGTTATCACAATGGTGAAAATGCGTGCCAATGGCATGAAGTGTTAAATAGGTTTGTAATTATAATCATGAGCGTGGCTCAGTTGTCTAGGGGTATGATTTTCGCTTTGGGTGCGAGAGGTCCCGGGTTCAAATCCCGGCTGAGCCCTGAAAGGAGTTTTTTTTTTTTTTTTTGATCCAATTCCCTCTTTTTTTTTTTTTTTTTTTTTTTTTATCTATACATAATACTTAAGAGTCGAAACTGGTTGCTCGTTCATATGACATTGATGTTGAAAATACATAGAATTAATCTTTTTCCCCGTTTTTATGTATTTTTGCCTTGTTGCGAAGTGAGAACCAAATTAATTCAATGAAAAATACATCTCTAATGAAATTCGAGGGAAAAAACTTTAAATAAAGTGTAGGAAAAAATGCGTATAATTCACTATTTCGTACAAGGAAGTCATGTGGTGTACTCATCAGAATTTTTTTTTGTTTGTTTGTTTCAAGTTAGGATAATTGTTACGGTATGTTATTGCTACGTTAATTCTTTTATTGATATTGAGAAAAAACTGTTATATTTCATTACATTTAAATCAGGACGTCACAAGTATTATCCTGAAGCGTTAAAAGTTTTTGTTTTTTGGTTTGGCAACAAAAAAAAAATTACTTGGTTGTTGCTTGGAAAGAATCAACTGATTTTATTCATATTGAGATGTTTTTATGCATTTTCTTTTCAGGCGTACATAGAACTTATAAATTTTGCTTTCGTCTCAGCCCGCTCATCTAGGGGCTTGCCCACTAGCGTATATTTAAATTGTGTATTAAAAACCTGCTAATAGTAAATGTTAAAAATACTAAATGTTAGACAAGAATAACTCTGCAAGAACATAAATTATATGAATTTGGTTTTTGAAATATTAGTAAAAGCGGTAGTTAGTACAAAAGAGCAACAACTACAGACCCATTTCAAGTTTTAGAAGTTCCCCGCATTTTTACATCTCTCTCTACTCGTGCACAATTTGAGTCTTCTGAGAAGCTAAATTTAATTGAGAATCATCTGTACATTTTATTCTTAAATATTTCTAAACTATTATTTCTAAACCAACATGCATATTTAAAACCGGAATACATAGTTCATTCATTAAACATTTGTCGCCCAGACGGCGACAGTGGTTAGGGGAGCCTACTGGTATGAAAGGTCCTGGGTTCGAGTCCCGAAGAAGACATGGATGTTTCTAAATGTATAGTGTCGGTGCGGCATGGCGGCACTCTAAATAAGCGGCGAGCTGAAAGTCCTCTCGTGTGGATTGGTGGAAGGAGAAAGGGATGGGAAAACCTCTGATCCCTCCCCGAGTGCTTTACCTCAAAATTAGGGGTGGAAAATAGAAGTCCAACCTCTCTTTGGAATAGGCTCTGGCAACGATTGTTCCAGGTTATATGGACAAAACAACAACACTAAACTTAGTTTTAACTGACCTGATAAATATTCTGCAACCCAATTTGCATGCAATAAAAAAGAGTACATTCATTAATAATTCAATCATTGTTTTATTTTTAAATAATGAGATTAAGAAGTTTAAATTTCAATCAATAATTTATTTATAAAATATTATCAAAATTAGGAGAAAGGCGATTGAATTTTAAACTCCTTATTTTTATATTCTTTCCTTTTTTTTAATTAATATCGTGATTATGATAAAGTAGATTCTAAGGCATTCTTATAAAAAGTAAGCACTGAGACTAAAGCTTAATTTCTAAGCTCAAAATTCAAATGCTGAATTTCAGCCTCTGGTGCTGAAAATTCAGTGTAAAATATATTAATAATTTACAAAAAAAAATAATAATGGTACAATTTTAACATTTAAATGCAGTGTACACTGGGGCAAAAAAGAGTGAGAAAAGGGAGAGTTCTAAACTCCTGTTCTACTAGGCCAAATGACGAAATTTAAATTGCGTTTTTCATGTCTCGAAAGCGCGACTTAGGATATGTATTAGATTTATACGTAGCATTGATTTGTTTTAACATGACATGGCAATTTTGTTTCCATATTTCATTTCTACAATTCAAATTGTGCCAAACCGGCACGTTTTGTAAATATAGCAAGAGTAGTTTTTTAAAAAATTAGCTCTTAAAATTTTAGCTTCTTGATGTTGAGTTTGATATATATTTATTAAAATATCTTTTTTATTAAATATTCCTTCTTTCAGAATCTTTTTTATTCCTTCTTTCAGAATTTGAAATTTAGGCTTAATCCAAATAAAATTCGCACATTTTTAGTCCAAAGGGACTGGCCCTGAAGGACTACTGTTTTCATTTTGCGATTTTGCGTCGAATCACTATAAACGGTCTATCACTTTTCAGATTGTTGCCACCAAATGTTAGATTCCTGCATTATATTTGAAGAAATTAAATAATGAAAAATCTGCATAAATGTATGTTTCTCGCATTGGGATAAAACAATAGTACCTAGAGCTAACCAATTTTGAATGACGTAATCTTACTACGAATATGGGCATCTGAAAACCCAAATTTGAAATTTGGAATTTGTTTCATTATTAATTTCATATTTTGTAAACCTTTAACGAATTTTTCATTAACAAACTCAACGATTTAAAAGCGAGCAGAGGCAACACTCTACGGGAAAAAAAAACATTTTCATCTCCAGCGCGCGGAACTGTGTATTTCTAAAAATATGCTCATTTTAAAATTATTTTGCGACATTGCTGTTGAAATGAATTTTATGGTTTAAGGGAAAGAACATGATATTTAATAAATAAAGGAACACAGAAAACGTTACAAAAACGCCCCTTTGGACGTAATTTAAAATCTAAAACCTTTCAGATTTTTTTATGATTTTTTAAAAAATATTTTTTATAAATTTTTCGAAAAAATGTTTTTTATTATAGCCCATAAAATTTTTAACATCAGCTTAAAGTAGACGTATTTCTAGGCACATGTGAAAAAGGTTAGAGTTTTTATTCAAAATTTCCTAAGATTTCCTAATTTAAATTTACATATTGGCGCATTTTGAAATTTGACGTATTTGTTATAAGCGATAATAACGACAAATGTGGTTTACGCATTTAAAAATGTTTGAAAATATTTATATTTATGTTAAAGTTATTTGAAAATATGAACGATGAATATTTTTCTGCTCGTGTATAATAAAAAAATAAAAGAAATACGTTGCTATAGATTAATAATTTTGCCAATAATTTTTGACGCAAACTGAAAAAAATTGCGCTGAGATGAATTACTTTACAAAATTTAATATCTAGGCATAATTTGAGTCGTGGAATCGAAATATGGAAAAACATTGATATGTCATTTCAGAAATGGTCTGATTTTGTGTCAAAATACCCATATTAGAACAATGCTATATATAAATTTAATATATTTCCTAAGTCGCGCTTTCGAGACATGAATAACGCAATTTAAATTTCGTCAATGGGCCCAGTAGAACAGGAAATATAGAACTGTTCCACTTTTTTCTTTTGCGCAGGGTACAATGCTCCAGAATGTCTTACTTATGATAACTAAACGCAGAGACATTTTCATGTAAATATACAACACAATTTTATGCAGCCATATACATTACACAATACATTAATTCTTCTAAGTAAACGTGTTATATACGTAAATAATGCCCTTGTTGGATTTCATATGTGCTGATTTGATTAGAAGAAGTTAAAATTTTGCAATAAGTAATGCAGCTACATAATGTTTTAGGATAAATGCATTTGATTACGCCAACATGGAGAAGAATTGTAATGAAAATGCGTGCGACTAACTTCAAAGGTGCTAGCAAAGAGATTTATAAAACTGCAGCTCACATCGAGAAAAAAAATGAAGTATGTATCTACATTACCTCAGAAGATATAAATTGGTTATTTAATCCTCCGACATTTTCTGACTTCAGTGGCTTTTGGGAAGTTAATGTGAAATGCATGAAATTACATCTTAAACGAGTATTAGGATCTACACTTCTGACTTACGAGGAATTTGTAAAAGTGCTTTTACAATTGGAAGCGTTAATGAATTCCCATCCTCTATATGCGATGCCTAGTGATCCAAACGATTTTAGTGCATTGACTCCAGGCCATTTTCTGATTGGAGTCCCTTTGCTTGCCATTTCTGAATCTGACTTGAGTGATGTTAAATCTTCAAGACTTAAACGTTAATCTCTTGTTTAACAAACTGTTCAACATTTTTGGAAAAGATGGTGTGCAGCGTATTTGACAACTCTCCAACAACGTGCTAAGTGTGCGTCTACAAAATCTAAAATGTGGTGACTTAGTTCTGATTAAAAACGAAAACTTTCCTCCAAACCAATGGAAAATTGGAAGAATCGCCTTAATTCATTCAGTCATCGAGAGAAAAGTTCGAGTGGCTACTGTCCATACAGCCACTGGTGATTTCAAGCAAGCTGTTACTCAATTGTGTCTTATCCCCAATCATGACTACTATGAACTATTTTTTTATATTACTGGACTTTAATTTTAGTTGAATTTTGAATTAATTTTTGGTTAATGTTACTATGTGTGCTTTAAGTATTTGTCTTTTTGAACCCTTAGAAGGCTTCAAGGCCGCGAGGCTATAGTACATTTTGCTACCAACCAAATTTCTAGTGTGCCTTGGCAACAATAGATGGCGCTACTGCCTCATGATTGAATTATGGTTGCTATAGTAACGAACCTGTCAAGTATGTATTTTATGTGTTCTATTATTTTTTATTATTGTTACAATACTTTGATGTGTGCATCGAAAATGCTGTGTCATCACGTGGACGGCATTTCTTCTATTCTAAAGTGTTTGTGTAAATAAAGAAAATAAAGATACAGTTCGCTTTTTCTGAAACCAATTCTTAAATAATGCGCTTAACGTCTTAGCAGTATCCTTAAATTTAGAAGTGCTATACTTAAGTTTTGGAGCTTCAAAGCTGTGCAATTTAAATACACTTTGAAACATAAAGAGTTTTTTTATTATTTAAAAATAATTACCAGATTTGGTGAAACCTACATTAAAATAGTTATACTCTCAGGTGTAAGGTAACGTAAATTCAAAGTGGAACTTAGAGCTTTTATTGTTGTTATTTATCAAAAAGTTTTAAATAAATTTCGCCCTCTTTCATTTAAACTACTTATAAAAGAGAAACATTTTTAAGTTAGAGCCTATAAATTAGCTGATATAAATTGCTTAGTGGGGTGATAAATTACTGCTATAGTTTGTCCTTAAAAAACACAGCTTACAGAATGTGAGCAGTGCCATCATCTATGGCCCCTAAGGTTGAGACATTTTATTGATTAGAGAATCTGAGTAAATAAGTATTGATGGCAATAATAATTTGTTATGCTTTCAGGACATTCCTAATGGAAAGAAAGATAAAAAACTCCTTATCTAGTTCCAGCTCACTTTTATTTAGATTAATCATTCCTAGACTCGATAGGCCGGTAATTTATTACGAGAAACAGCCAAAGGCTATTTGCGTTTCGGAGGAATGACGTCATGAAGAGGATTTCAAAAGAAATTGATATGCATTTGTATGAGGATTATCTGGGACTTGATTAACGAAAGTACCACACAGTCGAGGATAACTTCTTATTCCTTCTTTTCCTCTCCTTTTTTTCCTAATTTATGGAACCTTTGCAGTGAATGCCATGCACGGAAAATCTGCACGCGATTTCGCATACAGATAACATAAATGCCATTGAAATAGAACTTGAAAAGTAAGACGAAGCTACAGCCATTGGGACTTACACGGTAAAACCGCGGAACAATTTATAACAGTTAGCATTGGGCTGAGAAGGGAACTACCGATGCAGGTACTTGAAAGAAGAAAAGTTTACAGAGGTAATGCGTTTCAAGAAATTATTTAGGAGTAATCTGTGGGAATATTAATGAACTAATATTAGTACTTTTTTGCATTTTATCGTTTAATTCATTATCACTTCTAAGTAAGATAGCTAATTGTTTTTTAAATATTGCATTAATATGTATTTAAATTCTTAAAACATCTTTTTCGGTTTTGCTGTATCACAAACATTTCATCACGATAAGAGTAAATATATTGCAACAAATTTTGTACATAGATAAATGACTTTAGTGCAATTATATGTGAATTTTTTATATTTTTCTGTGCAATGTAGTATAAGAAAAATCTAAAAGAGGTACCGGAAAAGTACGAATACAGGGGCAAGTCCATTTCTCGGGAATTTGGCGAGATATCACCAAGCTAACAACAGTTTTAGTAAATTATTTTGTCGCCAAATTTGGAAAGAAATCGCCAAAAGTCGCCAAACTTGGCGACATTTTGGTCCAGTCCCTGTAATAGGTACTGTTAAATGAGTAAATGTAATTGACCACTATGTTGGCTGTAACCTTAATTCGACTCTCATATTGCTTTCTGATAATTTCGAGAAGCAGAAAGTACTAGATGTATCTCGGCGGCCGGTTGCAAACTATATAAGGCAGAAGAGAGCAATTGCCCTCAGTATGTTGTAGAGAGTTGTTAGTTCAGCGTGAACTGAGATATCTCCGGCTTAGGTATCTATTTATGTGCGCTTTGCACTGGGTTGTGTTTAATATTCTTAATAGTTTGAAGTATAACTATCGATTGTAATCGTTGAAATTGTGAACACCTGAACTAGGATTTCTGTGGAAAATTCCAGAACTTTGAAGGGTTTATTTTGATAAAATAAATTTTATTAACCTATCATCGGACCTGTGTGCATTCAATATATTACGAAGCCGTACGCATGCAACAATATATATATATATAAATATAACTTACCAGTATGGATGCACACTTTTAAAATAATTCTACTTTAATTAAACTTAGGAGATAATATAATCAATTAATCAATACTGTTTAAGAAATAAATTATTATTAACTAACTTTGCAGCAATTGCGCAAGTAATAATAACTTGTATTCGCACTAAATGGATTTAAGATCATACACATATATATATATATATATATATATATATATATATATAAATGGAAAAAAAAATTTGCTTAAACTGACGATGCCACAAAAATCTCACAAATTAATAATAATTTTACATTGTCGATATTTTCTCGAAAATGAGAGTCTAAAGGTTTTCAATTATGCAGAGAACAATAGCCCATATTACTTCCGATAATTAGATCTATATACGGTGACTCAAACTCACTAAACATTTTAAAATCTTTTCATTGATTTAAACGTTGCCATTCTAAATACCCAAAACTGCTAATGCAGTCAAAGTGAAACTCGTTGAATAGCGTTTTCCTTCAGAAACAATTAATATTCTACAATTCTTTATATATAAAATTTTATGTAGATGGAGCTATGCACCGAGAATGTTTGTTTTATTGTTTGATTGGAAAAAAGGAAGTTGCCGCCTTGCAATGACAGGAATTGTCCGTCTCAAATGAATTATTATTATTATTATTATTATTATTATTATTATTATTATTATTGCTTTTATTTGTGAATTTAAGCTTCATATATAGCTCACGCGGATTACTACTATTAAGCCTACCCACCACGAGAAGATCTAAAGAGAACCTAACACTTTTTTCTACAAATCTTTCTTATTTTTACCAATTCTACTAATTCTAAAAATATTTTAAATTCCAATTACATCATATTGTCAAACGGATTTTGTGGAATCTTTAATAGGGCTCTGCTTTCCAGCTGTGTCTGTGACGTGTCAGAATTACTGTACTTTTTTCCAATCTAGAAGAAAAGTAAGTCTAGAATTTATACCAAATACAAGGATGGAATATTGCTCCATGCTGCTACTTCTGAAAATAACGCTTACTTTCAATGTTTTGAGAAAATCGAACAAAAATCCGTCACTTTCAGTATAAATGACTATCCAAATATATGAATTTTGAATCTTTTAACTTTTAATTATGAAGACCCTTAATTCACGGCTATATAGAGACTGACACTGGCAGTTTTAAATAGCGCTAATCAGCTTCATAAATTAAAGTTTTAAATAAAAGTAATTCCTGTTGTCCATACTTCTTAGCTTTAAAATTGTTCATTGATGATCGCTCGCATAGTTAGAATTTATTATGAGATGTTTTGCATTTTTTATGGATAAATAGCTTTCTAACAGATATAATTTTAATTAAAATATATTAGAAATCCGATTGGTTTTATAAATTTCTCTCCTAGTCGCTTCACTGTTCATTGTAAATTCATCGAAATGAAAACACTATCAATAACACTGGTTTTTGCATCACTATTCATTTAGATAACCCCATGAAGGCATGCTTTGTAAATGTAAAGAATTCCTAACAAACAAATTCTCTTCATATTTATCTCTATTTATTGCTAGATATGACAAAGCGAATTTAAAAAAAAAAATAATTGAAGTAATAAATTAAAATTTTTGCAACAAAGGGCCGCTTAGAAGGTATAGTGGTTAGGGGAGCCTACTGCGTTAAGGGCCTGTTTTCGAAACCTGGAGAAGGCATGGATGTTTGTAAATGTATAGTCACAGTGCGCCGCATATTTAAGTGCACTCTTAAATATGCGGCGAGCCGAAAGTCCTTTCGATAGGCTGGTGGTTGAGAAAGAGAGATGGGAGACCCTAGGACCCATCTCCCCCGGGCTGTTGTCCATCAAAATTGGGGGCGAAACAGAGGTAAGTCGTACTGTCCCCTGCATGGTGCTCAAGGCTCTTGCCAACGATAGACGCAATCTTGCACTCATTGCCATGATGAATTACGTAGGCTTTTTACTGTCAGACAAGTAAGATAAGTCACAGAACAACACTACAAAGGCTGATTGTTGTTTATTTAATTGACTAATGGAAAGTACGCGGGGGTTGTTTAAGGAAGCCAGCTTAGTCGAGCTAACGTATTTAATATAAACCATTCTGTAATAATATATAACCATAATATTCTGTAGCAAAAGCATTCACCTTTAAACAGTGTTGAAACTTTATGCAAAAATGTATGAACAGTTTTGTATAAATGCGCCTTTAAACAGTGTTGGTAAGTGTTAAAACAACGTTAAACTGTGTTGTGTGACGCTTATGGGACTATATTGAGATCTGTTATTTTTCTCATTTGTAACCAACCATAAACACCAACTTATAACAAATTAACCACATCTAATCATAGAAACGATTGTATTTTGTGATCTTTCAAATATAACTGCATAATCTGTGGATAGAGTGAAAC